ACTCAAGATCTGATCCTTCAAGTACTTCTACACAGAYATTTACCTTTAATGTGAGTTAGCCTATCAAAGCTAATCAGACTAATAAGAAGAGTTAACTGTACCAAGAATTGGAATTCAATCAGGAATACAAGCAGCAGCTCACCTGCAGAAAGCTCTACTGACCCTTAGACAACAGGCATCAGTCAGGTCTGGTAGCATAAGGGACAGGTAATTTTCTTGAGATGGCTTTATAATCCGTGCTCTGGCAACTGACCAGACAGGATCCAACAAAGCCTGCTGCCTCCTCAGTGGCTTCCCAGATGTCCGCTGTACAGTAGATGTGTAACTAACAGATGATCTAGAAAAGTTTGTAACGCCTGGCAACACTAAACTTCCCAATAACCTGAAAGCGGACACCTTTTCCCTGTACCTTTGTGTTGACATCAACAGGCTTTCAGCAGCAATCTTGGTTCCTGGTGACCTGCCCAACCTTTTATTTCCTTGGCTCAMGCGCAGGCAAGTTGGAGAGAAGCAAATGATTGTTTAAAGCCCTGCCTGAGCAGGCACGAAACAAGCAGGATCTATGTTTGCATTCACAATGAGCAAGGACAGTGCCACACTTTTTTCTGAAAATATGAAGAGATTTTCTGTTCTAGAAAAATATCAAAACACCATCACCAGCAACCAAAAAACCAACAGTAAGCTCAGTTTGAGTGAAAGAAGCATTTCGAGCAATATAGATAAATACAGTTATGACAGCTGAAGAGGTCCATGGTCTTATGGAGCACAGCTTAAATACCGGTTTTATTGAAACAGTCCACTAAGGCGGGGAATTTGCACATATGCAAATTAGCAAGCCACTCCTTGCACAGCCAGTAGCTCTGTAAATGGCTTTTGGTGCCGTGTCCAGCGAGGCATGTTGTCTGTGCCACCGACCATGGCGGTGCTTCCCTCAGTTCCTGGCATTCAGTGGTGCTCTCCCCCATGGCAGCATTCATTTACTCTTCATGCCTTTGCTCCTGCAAGAGCTTTCTAACGCGCCCTGAGTAAAACTAACCACCAACCACATGACCTTTCAAGCTTGTTTCTGTCCGTGAGACCACAATACCCACGCATCAATGGTGTCTCTGCCAAGCTGGATAAAATGCCTTGAAAGCAATRTTCTTGTTGAGACTTGCATGCATGCACATAATTCTCTGCTATCGGGTGCACACCTGAGCACCRTTTATTGCTCAGACTCTCTCATATRGTTTGCTCAACATTGTTGCCTGGGCAGCAGATAGCATCTGTCGTATTGAGCCCTTTAAAAACAGTCTTCTGCAYGTAAAAAGTTCATAAAAAGTACTATCCATGAAGCCTGGATGCATGTTTTCCTCATTTTTAACCAGGATGGTGGTAGCAAACATCCTCACTTCTTCAGAGTGCATTCCTAAGGTGGGAGATTGCCTTTCATCCTGCCGGTATTGCAAATGCTACAGGTGTGGAGTGGATCCTTTTTGGCTGGAAGCRCTTACAGAGCAGATAATGCTACTGTAAAGCACTTAAAGCACGCCCAACCTGTAATTATGGTTTATTTCATGGGGTTTAATTGCRCTCATCAGGAAAGGCAGCTGGATGAGATACTTGGATAATATCCTTAGGGTCCAACATAGCAAACAGCTCCTGGCTTTCAGMTGCCTTTTGCTGTACTCATCCCTCCAGCATCTTCACTTCTTGTCAGGATCCATAGGTCCCAAGCTTTGGATTGGAAAGAGGCAAACCAGCTGCATCCAGCCCTGCATCTCTCTCTCWTTATGTGGCAATAGGGTCCTGCCTTCACAAGAGCTGAGCTGTCTCGCCACCTTTCGCAAGACACCAACCTGTGCTTGTGACTGAGCATCACATGAGTGCCGCCCATCCTCTTCCTTTCTGCTTTGGGGAAAAGGACTGGGCACCAACTTCCCAGCTGAAACTGGAGAAGGGCAAAGCAGGCAGCTTCTGCATAGGAACATCCCTCTCTGATTCATGAAGTTTTATTACACCTRTTAAAATTTCTCAAAGTAAAAAGGGGGAAAGCACTTTCTTTAGTACATGCTTTGCAATAAAGAGCAACACAATTAATTTTAACAACTTTGAGGTACCTGTTAGCTTTGAAAAGGCTATTCCCCTCAGTTTTAAGTAACCTAGGTAATTAAAAAATTGGTTTTACACTTCATTTTATATACATTATTTACAGTTGGTATCTTTATAGATTTAACACTTACTTTGGTCAAGGGAGTTGATTCTTGGTGCTGGGTAGCATGATTGTGTTAGTTATGTATGTTTTGCTTTTGCCCCTTGTGTTTATTTACATTGCTCTAGCAGAACCAGCTTCAGAGTTAGAAGTGGAAAGGTTTAAAATTAACATGGGGATTCCCCTCCAAGCTGAAAACAAACTTGTTTTCAACTTAAAAAAATAAAATTTCAGACTGGATTGGCAGTATTCTACCACAGAGGAGACTTACTATTATATTCATCAAGGTCTCTCCAAACTGCAAAACTTCCCAACCAACTCTATGAAATGCATCCCCCACATCAAATTAGATGCTCCCGTCCACCCTCCCCCCAAAAAAAAAAAAAAAAATTAGATATGCATCTTTTGAGTTTAAAAAAAAGAAGTATTTGCACTTTCCACTTCCTTCAGTGTGAGTTTCATCCAAAAGCTTACCAGCATTATCTTCCCCCCCCACAGCAGACTGTAACCCACGGAAGATGAACACAGTTGCCCTTTCTCACCAATTTAGAGCAACTCAGGTTGAAAGCAGTAAGAGAAAGAAGATGAGAGGTATGGCAAGACAGATGCTTCATTTAAAGYCTCCCCCCAGTGACAGAAGAAAGGAAATGACTCCATGAAGTTTTTACTACCAGCTCTGACAGACAATCATGCAYACACCTACTCTTCAGTGTACCTGACAAGACAATCTTATTTCACTTGCAAGACTAAATTATGAAGAAGATTGAGGAGAAATCTAGTTGGCCTGCTACTTGTACCAAAGTGGAAAAATCAGGAGCTCCAKTTGCAACATGGCCTTCCCCTATTTGAAAACTTAGAAAGCTGGAGAATTTAAAGATTAACATCAGCAACACATTTTAGACAGCRTATGCTTTCCTCAATCCATCTTTGATTTTGTCTCTCTGAAATACAAATGTCTTTTTAAAAGATTGAGCATTTAAGATTTTGAATTTATTTTGAGAATAAGTATATTGGCACTATTTTCCCCCTGACTGTTATGCTGGGGGCAAGCTACACACTCAAGCCCTTGCTATTACAGAGCTCCAGCATAATACAATGATTTTCTATGCAGCTGCGTGGCTAAGTGCTGGTACAGAAAGACATCTGCCCTRACTATTATTTCTGTTGTTTTCCACTAGGAAGAATAAGCATCRCTTGGCTCCTCAGGATTCACAAGCACTTCCAGGAGCAAAAGCACAAGTTACATACTGGCACTACCTCCAGCAATAAAGGCAGGTTTTGTTAATTTAATCTTACTTTCGTTACCGTTATCGGTTTGAGGATACTGGGTCTGCTGACAATACTCAGTTGARTTTTTTACATCCTTTTTTAGCTTTGCCCTAAGCTGCTAAAATGGAAGGATATGTTTGATATGTTTGCCCCCTCTGCTGTCCTAAAAATTAAGACTCCTGTGAGCTAATCTCAGGGTCAAAAAAAACCCACCAAACCCAAACCAAAAAACCCCATMACACCAAGCCCTGTAAATGAATTTATCCATCATTTTTCATTCTCTCAAAGAACTTAAAAGTTACAGGCTTTGCTGATTCTCCATTTATTTTGAGAAATATAAAATACGAAAACTAGTTTACAGTTCTGGCACAAAAAAAGATGACGCAATAAGCACAAAGTTTCTTTTTACAAATAATGCTATATATCTTTACCATTTAAAGGTGCCTAGAGTTTTTCACAGCAAATAAAGTTTATTCACCTATATATTCTTTCCTTAGTAAAATATTAAATCTATTTAAATTGCACGTGAACACCTTGGTGAAGTAAACTAGAAGTAAAGTTATAATAAATCTGTATATAAAGCAGACACTCATTAGAAACTACATGGAATGGAAAAGACTATCAAAGCCTAAAACTGAATCTTAAATGACTGACCAAGAAAACAAGAGAGAGACAAGACACCAACTGATATGGCACAAGTGATTAAATTATTGACAATTTGACAAAAAGTAAAAAGTAAAGCCTATTTGAAGATCTTCACGCATCTAATACATTGCTAAAACATTTCGATGCAGAGGTTTTGAACATTTAAACTGGCAATAGTTTTTCAACTGCTAAACATTTTTTCCACAAGATTACAAGGCATCTCTTTCACTTTATATTGGACCTTAAAATGAGTACATAGGTAGATAGAAAATGTGCATAAGAAAATAAAATTTACACCAAAGGTTGCTGTAGTTGACAATTTACCTTGTTTCAACAGTAAAACAGCTGAGAAGTTTATCAGTTAAAATTAACATGATTAACTTGCAACAGCAGAAACCAGAACACTGAAAGATTAATCTTGCCTCAAAAAACACGCCTTGTTCCAATTTCCATGATTGCTGAGGGATTCAAACTACAATTTTGCTGTCAACACAACCACTTACACTATGCAAAATTAAGTCTCCAAAATGGAAGTCTCTGTAGATCAGGGTCATAACTTTTACCTGGTAATCTTACTTATCCTTCACAGACACTTGCACTGAATTCTATCAGTCATTATTGGGAGGACTATTCAGTCAAGAAATAGTGAGTGGTGATCTAAGATGTCCAACCTGAAAGCTTTAGAGGTTCAGCTGCCATAGTGTTGTGTGTGCTCTGACTTTCTGGGTTATGTTTTTTAAACACAAACCCTTTAACATTCCAAATTGAAGACCCAAAAATTCAAGTATCCTGCAGCGTACCGGTTTTAAGTYCTGACCTTCAAGCTTGTGCTAGTATCAAGTCATTTCTTTCAAACTACAACACAACCAATTCATCCATTTTGGTATCTTTTGCAGGTGGTCAAAAGAGTATTTGATTTGTATCAAAAGAAGAATAACATAAATCACAGGGTCTGAAGAAGTGTTCAAGGCCAGGTTGGATGGAGCCTTGAGCAAGCTGGGCTACTAGAAGATGTCCTTACCCATGGTAGGGGGTTTGGAAYGAGATGAACTTTAAGGTCTCTTCCAACCCAGACCATTCCATGATTCCATGAAGAGCACTGTTATGTTGCTTTAAGAAACACAGCAACATTGACAACRAACGTATGACAAATGCTCCTTTATGTCATTCACATTAAGCAGCACAGGAAATACATATGCACACTAGATTTCTTTGCACTGAAGCCAAGCTGTTTAAAAATGCAGGAATACACTATATTCTCAAAATTATTATCATATTATAGGCATGCACAATTTCACATATCTAAAGAAAATCAGGAGGCAGGACCTAAAACATAGGCTTTGTGAAGAATTCAACAGTGCCTCAACATTTGCAGTCTAATGAATTATCACCACTTAAAATGAGAGCACAAATGTGATCCTCTCCAAAAATGTTTGTAGCCAGGTATTAAAGCAAGTTAAGACTATGTGCAAAAAATTTGAAAAGTGATCGACCTAATTCAGAGAGGGAACATAAATAGTCTCAATAAATTATATTCTACAGATTTCCAGTTAACCACCCATTATTTTTCATTTCAGTTTACTTGAATACCTCTTTTTAAATAGATATAGAGAATCTCTTAACAAAAGCAATCAGTGTTGCCTATTTTGGTTGTTAAGAATTACTTTCAAAGAAGTGAAAGTGCCCAGTTTTACACATAATTTTAGATTTGGAGTACTGAATGAAAATTGAAAGATGACATTGAAAACACAGCAGTGCTAACAAATACAAAATATGCAGCTTTTGAAAAAAAAAGCAGCTCACAAGGCACTTACTATAGTGGTCCATTGAATAAACTGTATACATAGTGCACCCTTAAAACATCAATGTTATGCATCAAGCTTTTTCAGTGTTAAATGAGATTTATTAGAAACAACCACTGGGTTCTGTGTATTCTGAAGCAGTTATTGAGCAGCCTTGTTTCATATAATGTAAATGAAACAAATCAGAAGTGGGTCATATAAGGAGAGTATTTTATGTAATTTCTCATGTGAAAGCTTTTCCGTGTAGTGAGAAAATAAAATGTGAAAGGCCATTCTGACACACACCTCTCCCCCCTCCRGACCCCTCTGCCCTAAAAAGCTACATTCCTGCTACTGGAAGAGCCTGGCATTTTAATTACAATTGATTCTATAATCAACTATTGGTTTGGCTCATCATTTGCAGCTTTGAAATTAATGTGCATAACAGTAGCATTAAGCCACTTTCCTTTCCAGAGCAAAAACTGGCAGATTAAGTATCTGTAAAAATTATACATTGTTTCAATGGCTTAAAATGCTGAGTCATAACTGACACACTTGATACTGGTTTAATTCTGGTTTTTTTCATGATATACTTCAAAGGCCAGAAGGGCTACAGACCCTAYCACATTTCCTAGCATTTCTCTGTGGGAATGGGTTCTTCATCTCCCTTTAGAAAGTAAGCATATATTAAGCCATACTTTTTAATTACTCCCACACTGAGAAAGCTTGGATCATACAAATGTATTTGCCATCTTCAGGTTTCCACAGTCCTATGTTGGACAGAATAAGGAAACTGTCATTGACAGAAGGATCTGTAGATTGGCCAAAGGAAAAGTTAACATTCTAAAYCAAAAGCAGTCCCAAAACGTCAGCAAAAGGTACCAACTTGTTCAGGGGACTTCAATCTACTTCAGCCCGGTCTGCCATGGTACTTACTTTGTGCATAAGCACCACAGTGAGAAAACTTAAGTATTTGTCCAGAATTACTGCACATAGTCCATTCTCAAATTCTGCTCTGCAGATYACTTACAAGCTCTCCAAATTCTTTCCAACTCAAATCACCAAAAAAAAAGTATCTAATCCTCATTCATACTTTTGCATAGTTTGGCATTTTCTGGAGTTGTACTTTTTTCTTTCATAGCTTTTGAGGGGACTCCTCTGTCACACATGCAAGYACTTCCATTCTAAATCCTTCAGGAGCAAAACTGAGTCCCACTTCAGCAGCAAGCTGTCCAGGACCGCTTGACATTCTTCTTTCTACTCAAAGTAAGGATTACTCAGTTTTATCTGCACTTTCAGATTTTTCCCTTTGCATCATGCAGCGACGAACTATGCTGTCAAAACTTCCTAGGTAAAACAGGCCAATGATGCGAAAAATGCCCATGCAAACAACCTGGAAACAGAGAAAAACAGCTTTCAATTCATTTAGGATCCTGGATTGCAGCATATTATTGAGTAATGAAATTTAAAAAAAAAAAACCAAAAAAAAAAAACCAAAAAAAACCAAACAACAGTTCTAGGAAGGCATATTATGTAATCTTCAGAAAACAAACTTACCAAACCAAGCTAACTATGGAACAACTCAAGACTGAGTTGCAGGGAATACTTTTAGCTCACTCACCAATTTACTACTTCAGCTTGAAAATACTAATGGAGATTCCTAAATCCAAGTGCCATAGTATTAACAGCCATTTGATGAAAAAAAAAGAATCTAAGTTTGCATTATGTTCTGCATTTTAATTTTATCAGAAATTATGGCAACACGTCCTTCCCACATCCTACCTGCTGAAGACCTTCAGTAATAGAAGTGACTGGTGACATTCCACTTGTCAATATTGACAGCATGTAACCATCTGATCCAACTGAGCTGTTGAAGTTCCCTTGCTGGATGGAAGGATTAAGAAAACAAGAAGTAATTTACTCAGTTGTAGCAAATCATGTTGTGTTTTATTTCAACAGCTATTCTTGATGGACATAGGTGACTGACATCACTAACACCAAATACTTTACTGGAAAAAAGTATTACCAGAATTAAGAAACAAAAATACTTTGGGCTATACAGCAACATTCTAAAAGGCATTCACTCAAAAAATGGAAAAGGAAGCTAATCTCTCTTTAGAGAGAAGTGTGCTAAATTACTGGAGATTTTTACACAATAAAAAAGGCTATAAAATTCTTCTTGAGGCATACTTACTTGTAAAGAAAACGCATGATAGTCTTCACAGCTATAAGCATATTTCAGAAACAGAATGATACCCTAACTACATCAGATTACCYATCACTACTGTAATTGTATTACAAAATGCAATTTGCCTTTTGTTAAAATTAGCTTGCTTATCCCATGAGATTTGGTAAGGGGGTGCATTTCAAATGCTTGGTAGCAGATCCTCCTTCACCAATATTAAGGATTTTTAACTGCAAAACACAGCTTGCTAAGCAATTCAGCTGACAGAAAAAGGGTTGGGGGGAGGATAGACAGCAGGAAGAAACCCTAACAACCAAACAACTTTAATAAAAGCAAAATTGCAATTCTATAGTTCTTACTCTCAGGCTTCTCTCACTTGTTTCCATTTGACTTTATGCCAGAAAACARACTTTCTGAAACGTTGTGGGTCTAAATCTATGGAATGTGGAAGTGAAAGGAAAAGGTGGTGTTCCTGAATCAGGGTTAGGGGTGAATCTATGCAAAGTAGTAGATGTTATTAGATCTGGTTATTTCCCAACACACACCTGAGAGACACCTTCTCGTTTCTATTTCAGTCTCCCAGCTGATGGCCAGAGTGCATAAAGAGCATATCTGAACCAACAGGTGATCCAAAGTGTAGAAAAGTATGGTATAGATATACCAGATGCTTAAGATGAGAGAGGAGATTAGTTTTCTTAATCATCGAAGGAGAATACTGTGTTGAAGTAGTACTTGCTTTTAAAACAAATTCAGACATAATTTTGTGTTTATGCACTATATTTGTGAAAACACTGTAAAAACATCACAATTGGGCACCTGCTGTAGATGTAAATCGTTGAAGATCAAGAGTATTTGGAACTGTAAARTAAATTACAGATTTTAGGATTCAATGGGTGTGCTTTATCATCATGAAATTTCATGTTGGTTTTTATTCTGCGCTTCTTTATTAAGCATGCAGGCAGACCCTAGCAAAAACCATTGAAAAAAAATCCTCAGAAAGGCAATACACCTTTAATCACTAAGAACAGCTCACTAAGAAGAGCATTTTATGTATTTTAAACACTCATAAATCACATGCTTCAGTCATTAAGAGCCAAAAAGGTCAACTGCCTCCCTTTATTATAAAATTGTTTTAATATGAACTCATCTTCAAGAAAAATAAGAGAGTACAACAAGCTTCTGAGGTTAGGCAAATGGTACTGGATACATAAAAAGTCAATACAGTTTAGTGCTTTCAAGTCAGTCATAATGCATCTTGGAGACACTGCATGATACTTAYGCATCATTTTATTCTGTCTATGTACAACTTCAGATACCTTTTACTTCTGAGAGCTTGTGTAAGATCATTTGTGGGCAYGGTGGCAAAAGAAGAAAAAGGAGAACAGCTCTTGTTCAAACGGACCGAAGAGAACTGGTTTGTGTTAACTGGTTTTGCATTTAGTTTAGCCACTATCTTATGGTCTTAGGCAGACATGACATGTAATTCTARTCTCTTCAACACAAAACATGCTCGGAAAAAAAAATTTACTTACTATGGCATCTTTCACTATAACTCTGGCGACTTGTTCTGCTTGGCAAACAGATGAGGTTTCAGAAATCAACTTTGTCTCTAAGGGCTTTAATAGAAAAACACCAATTTAAGTAAGTTTGGCTAACAACACACAGGAGAGAAAAATATGAATGTGAAATATTGCGTTTCGGTCTTTTGTCATGGATGACATACATCACTGCTAGCAACCAATATCACACTGTCACCCAAAGCATCCATTTAAACAAAGATATAAGCACGTTCATAAATAAYAGTCCAATTTCACAAAGGGAAATGACAACTTTTCGTTAAGGAGTACTTTTTTGGTATACAGTTTATTACAACTATGAAAAAGAGCTTTTTCTMAAGTATTTTACTTTCTGTAGAAACTATCCAAGTGCTTAAGCTATTTCTCCTCAATACTAGTTCATTTTTGTCAGAAATGAAGTAAAAGATAGGCCTGAAATATTTGAAGAACCTATAAAGCAGCTTGGTTTTTTTCTTCATTAGAGGCCTACTCTAATACTGGGACTAGTTTAATTCTGAGATTATWATTTTTAAAAAAGCACTTCTAGGGAAAAGTTGAGCAACTACAAGTTTGTCTTTATCAATTCAAAATACTACAGTAATTAAATTTCATGGAAAGGGGCCTATTTCCCAATATCTGTAGAATTATAAGTTCTGAGTTCATCAACCAAGGCACTGAATTGTTTTTTTTAGTATGTGTATTTTAAGGGTGGCCAGGKGGGACATCACTATCTTTGCCAGCAGAAATCATATACAAATACCTTTTACTGGTCTCTTACAGTGATATGGATTATGTCATCAGATCTCCATTTCATAGTCCCTATTTAATTTTGATCTTACTGGCCAGTATCAAAGAATCTGAATGAGATACAGGGATATCACRAGTAATTCAAATACTCTTAATCTGGGAGAAAACCAGCAGCTGCTCAGGAGCAACAGCGAGCATTAATGACACGTTGAGAATAARGCAGGCAGAAATCAGCCATTAAATACTTGATCTGGCCCCTTAGCTGGCCAAGGCTTGGCTGTCATTTGTGAAGCAGCTACCTCAAAAAGAAGRAAAAAAAAAGGGGGGGAAAAAAAGCTTACTGATTAAACACAGGAAAGCTGTATCCTAGCTTCTGATGCTTCCTTTTGCTATAGTCAATGATTACAGAGAAAAATAGCCTAGTCCCAAGGACATGCAAAGTAAAGGCATATGTTCTGAGTAGTAAATAGAGTAGTATTAAATAAATGCAACAATAAATGAGTATCTGAAATGTCAGAGCAATGCAATATTGCAGAGATGTAAGGTACACTAGTCACTCAGAATTCATGTAGGCTAAAACAAAGCATAATTCTCTCCTAAAAGACAGGACTTATTTTGACAAATAAGATAAATCTCTCTGAATCTCTTTTAAAGAAAAATCTTAGATGAACCATACATTCTGCTGGTGCCTGCTGGTTCCCTGAAATAAGCTATTATGAAAGAAAAAAATCCTAGAGAATATGCAAGCTATACAAGTATCTGCAGATGTCTAATTCTGGCACTTTATGCGGATGTGTGGGAGTATACATTTAATACAGAATATCTGTATCAAGAAATGATGAACTAAGAATTGTGTTACACAATCCCTACTGATTCCTATTCAAAGGGTGAAAGACAAAGTGGAATTCAAACTCAATTTCCAATTATACATGATGTGCATGTTGAAAAGCTGATACCCTTAGATACCAGATTTCYAGTTCACAGCATGCAATCAAAAAATAAGAGTTTTTTCCTGGTTACCTGATGCTTTAGTATGAACAGGGGGATTGAATGTAGTTTTTAGAATTGTACTTCACATGTATGGACATGGCAAATGACAAGAGGTGACTGAAGGTCAAAACTTCTACTTTTAAGGTAACCCAAATGAAAACARCCTGCTGCTGACACATCATTCTGAAAAGCGAGACTATCACTTCCACTGGGAACACAGTGCCAGAGAGTTTCCTTTCCACTTTTATACTAGAGAACAGCAATTGTTGAACTGGGTCCTTACATGCATTCATACAACACAACCACTGTTCCACTGAAAGAACTGAGGTTTATTTCGATCAGTCACACCTATCACAACAGCCACACATAATCAACGATGCAAAATAGGAATAATAGTTTTGGTTAATTAAGCTTCAATATAAAAACAAATAGTGTTTTTACAGTTTACCATTCCACACCAATATTCTGATTGTATGCAGGAATACTCTGCAACGTTTCAGCTCTTAAAGGCAAGTAGTTCTTCCATTTAAATCCTCAGAACAAGAAAGTACACAAAATTATCCTACAAGCTATATAACTCTGAGTAGTTAAAAACTGATAAAATTGAAATGTTTAAGAGTAATTTCTAAAATCTTAATATGCTTTAAAAAATACTGATTTCAAAAACTGAAAGACAATTTACCTTTGTTTTACTTTCTTCTGCAAATCCAGGTGTGTCAGTATCTGGAGGATAGGCCACTGTTATGTAGACATTATAAGGTTTTACCTGTGTTTTACAAAAGCAGTAAGTGTTATCTTAATACCGACAGCATTTACATGTCCCTTATAATTCCATTAATTTCTCTTCCAATTAAGAAACTCAGCAAGCATGAATTCAAATTGTTTCTAGTGTAAAGTATTCAGCACTCGCAAGACTTGCAGCTTCCTCAACTGAGAAACAAAACAGCAAAGATTTTAAAAAAGTGGTTGTGGTGCTTTTTCTCATAAAAGTCTCTAAAAACTTTGCAAATTATTTGATGAATCTAAGTGGTTTTCAAGACACTTAGGAAGAATAGTAAAGTAGTTTAGGTCTATAGTTTTCCAATTTCTAAAAGAGGACTAAGCCATTGTCAAATACCAGTACCCAACATTTATAAAAAAAAAGGCCAAAGACTTTCACTGAGGGAGAAAACCAACAAAAATGTAAAATTAAAATCTGTTATCTTTAAGAGGTATACTCAAGTCACAAGGCTTTTCAACCCATGGTATAAACTTGCAAGAGGTCAAAGTCTAAGGAGACAAAAAATAAGTAGAAAATGTGAGGAAAAATAGAAGGTCGKACATCAAGGACTGTATTTAGTTATGTATCTGCATGTATGTGTCATAGAATTACATCACTCAGTGCAATACTATTCAGAAACTGCTACAATGCAAATCTGTACTCCAATACAAATAAAAAAAGCTTTTAATGAAATTTTTCAGAGGGCTACAATAAAGCAAAGTGTTGYAAAACACAAAGCATTTTTATTTATATTATGAAACATTCTATATTGAAAACACTTACTGAAATACCACATCACACGCCCATAAACACCCTATTTTTAGTCTTGAATAATTCAGTCTTCAGCAAAGTATCTGTCACCAGTCTGAAGAAAGACCCTGCATTCACACTGTTCTATTTGGCAGACCAGAAGTGATTAGAGGCAGTTTTACCCCACATTCTTACTCTGAGCAAGGCATCCCTGATCAAGGGACTATGCAAGGGTCTAGAACCAAACATAGGCATTTTRTATTTAAATACTTAACTCAAATATAAATTCTTAACAAAAAATGACAAAAGTAATTTTAAAATAAATTTTTTATGTCTTACTACAAATGTACTCACCCACTCTGTTCCAGTGAATAACGAAAATAGCGTGTGTTTGGTTTTGGTCTTAACACAACCATAAGCTTAGATCACTGCAGTATAAAAAGCTCATATATGTATCAAAATATGGACAGGTGAGCCACTGTCAACCCAATTTCTTTTGGTGGACAACCTGTGAATTCTAGGAGTTTTACAGTTTCATATGGTTCACATACTGCTCACCATGGACTCACAAACAAACTGGGAATCACTGGCCTGTCTCTCATGCATCCATTTGATCTTCAGTATTATTCTGCACTTAAAACCTTGAAGAAGGCTTTTCATCAAAAGTCTTAAAAAAATCTAGTCCTTTTAGTTAAAAATAAAAGATTACAAATGTCTGCACATGTCTGCACATGTGATCACTCACTTCTAGGAACATATTCAATCTATTCTCTCTTATGCAATTGAAATCAGTTTAGTTTCTGCCACTTCATGCAGAGCAATAGGATTGTACTGCTGCCAAATGAGGGCAAATAACACACAGATATTAGCAATGATGCAAAATACAAAAAAAAAMMMMAACCCTATTTAAGTGAAATGKCCTGTGCTGACAGTTAAAACAAAATCATTTATCACTGAAATTACTTGGAATTGTTGTACACATACCTCCATTTGCAAGGCTTCAGCCAACCCTCGAAGAGCAAATTTTGTTGGAGAATAAGCTGTATAACCAAACAGGCCTAAYTGCCCAGCCTGAGATGATACAAATACAATCCTTCCCATTCTTCGTTCCTTCATGGTAGCGATTACTGCTCGGCTTGGGTAAACACTGCCCAGGTAATTCACTGCCATTAATCTCTGCACAAACAATATCAATATTTCAGTATTTGAGCCACAGATCCAGAATCCTTCAGCTGTTTGGTCTTATTTATCAAACACCTATTTCAGTCTGCTTCAACAATCAAGTTYACCAGATCTGTTCTGGCAAAAGAAACTACAGATTCATAAACTGTTTTATAGCTAAAAATCTCACTTCAAGCCAAAAGAAATCCTGTAAGTCTTAATAGCATCCAGGATACTGATAATACTGGGAACCATATGGTCTTGAAGGAAAAGAAGAGTATTTGAGGGCAAATCTAACCTGAACAGTCTCCAGGAAGCAATCCATTTATGCATGATGCATGAAAACATACTGAAAGTTTAAAGAGCTTTCTAAAACAGGAAAGAGGAAAAATGCAATGTATTTCCACATTTGAGAGATTTTATTCTTTGCCAGGATAAAGGGAAGTCTTTAATTTCAGTCTCCACAAGACCTAAAACACAACTGATAGCCTATACAAGCAATAAAATGGGTGATTCAAATTTATTATAAAATTAGGCCCTTTTGGTATTTTTAGATGATTCAACATTATTCGTAGATGAATGKGGGTCTGAGGGCTGCAGGCATAAAGTAACAAAAATACAGGTGTTTCAGGGTTGCTTTTTGTCTTTTCATCAAAGCAGCAGCTTCTCAAGCTGAAACAATTTGTGCACCTCAGAACTGAACACTGATACCATCTGCATTTTTCTTAAACAGGTTAAAAAAATTTTAGAAAATCTTCAAAAGGAAAAAATGAAACTACATGAAATCATTAGGGGAGAAGTTAGAGGCAGCCCTTGAAAATCTATTCTGACAACTAGCACAAGTCAASTGTAACACTATTCAAGTCTACAAGGACAAAGGAATGCCATCTWGTTGTTAGAATAGTTAAATAAGAAATAATCGTATAATGAAATAAAGAAGTAGCTCACTTACTTCAAAAGAATTCACTTCAATATCCTCAAATTTTCCTGTAACTGATGTTCCTGCACAGTTTACAAGCATATCGACTGGCCCCAGCTTCTCCTGAGCCTGKAAGAGGGACATTGGTTAAGACTCTTTATGAGGAAAAAACCTTGCTGTATCACTGTAAGAAACTATTTCCAACAGAAATACAACACACAGAGATAAATTTCTTAAGATATACAGGTGAACCAGTTATTAYCTCACCTGTTTTAGAACGTTCTCCACCTGTTCGTAGTCTTTAGACACATCAACAGAAATACAAAGTACAACCTAGAAAAGAAAAGTGAAAGCAAATTTTCACAACACACTCAGTCCAGTTGACTCTGAGCCTTTCAAAATGAAACAAACCCAATGTCATATCTTTCCCACAAAAAAGTCTGTTTTACAAGATACTGTGCACTGCTTCCACATTGGAGGAAGCAATCTCTGCTTCCTCCAAGCTCCTCCTCTCACACACAGGTTCCACCATAATAAAGATTACATGAAGAACAAATAAGCCTGCCCCTAATGATCTTSAAAGCAGCCACTCATGTGCAAAATACAATTTCTAATTTACAGTACTGAGATGCACTACTGACYGAGTTATTTACATGAAGTTTAGTAAAAGTTATTTTAACTAAGGCAATCAAACTTCCCCAGTTATATATTCAACTTCCATCAGCTAAATGCAAGTCAAAACATTTATGTGGCTTAGCCTCATCTTAAAAAAAATGCTTTTTCCACTTCATAGCAAGGCACGGTTGCAGTGTTAACCTGAAACTGCAGCAYGAGCACTACAAAAAAAATTTGTTCCAAAATCTAGAAAGCAAGTGCGAAAAACCCACTAATTTTAGTACYTGCAATGCACTCTACCTCCTTATTTCATAATTTTTTTTAAGAATAGTAGTAAATCTAGTTGCATAATATTTAATTGGGACACCTCAAGGACAAAACTAAAATAAAAATTCTTTGAGAAACTGACTCATTACACAGTGTCACCAATATTTWAAAAAAGTGAAGTAACGTGTACATATTTACTCCTTATCTGAAAATCAGGCATTAAGGGGTTTAGTTTGAAAGACACAGAAAAATTAAAATAACCAGGGAAGAAAGAAGCAGAGGGGAAGGGTGGATAGGGAGGACGAAGGAAAACAGATTATAGTGATATGGGTTTTCTTGCAGCTAAAAATTAGGCCCTGTTTTCCTTGAAAGTTACTGACTGCTTTCAACAAGATTRTCTCAGAATCTGTTTTCAAGTACCTTCAAATTAACTTCTGGCCAAAGAAAGCACTGCTTATTTCAGGTTACCTCTTCCAAACTGTAAGACTCCTGCAAATACCAGCTGCTGACAAATAAGACACCCTCTCTGCTAAGCTGTCAACTGAGCTTTGGGCAATTCTGCATTTTGAAAAGCTATCTCCTATTGCAATAAAAGGAGGTATTCCTGTGTTCTTGTTCCTACTTCTATCCTTTCTGTTACTTTGGTCAATCAATTTAAACYCAGAGGTGAACTAAACAAAGTCATCAGTAGTTATGACCATTTCTCACAGAGCACGTGGGCACACACACACACACGAAAAGGTTTACCACAGTGTAACTAACTGCTTTGGCAGCCAGTCATTTGTCAGTCCTGCCCCTGGTCAGACTGTGACACTTCTCAGCTGCATAAACAGAATCTGCCTGCCATTCCTGTACAGCAGGTTGGCTATTCCTGCCTCCCAGCATTGTGTGTAGCCGGGCATCACAGTAAACTTGTGGCACAAGCTATTGGCAGGAATGTATCCATCTCCCCTTAAGGCATTTATTGCACTTGGGAAACAATTATCATCTTTTTCATAAGTTTATGAACCAAACAGTAATTGAAAGCAAACAACATTGAATTATTATTTGGATATCTTTGTAAGATCAGTGAGGAATTAGTAAATYACAGTTCTCTATCAAAACTGGGGCAATTTGTTAATTTAACAGATTGAATAGATTAGTTATACTGTGAACAACACATTTGGGAACTACCATAGCTTTTATTGACTGCTATCACATTATTCAATTCACCTCTTTGCTTCTTTCTACTACCATATACTGATTGCCTTCACTCCAAAATATGGACTGTGGATCCACACCTAGGACACAGAATATGCTACCAGAAGTAGCCTTATATGCCCAGCCCTGCTTGTTACAATTTGCTCTAAATATTGCGTGGTGTTGGATGGTTAATAAAGCATTCCTAATAAAAGATCAATTCAGCCCCCTATAAAGTAAGTGGGAATATTCAAGATCAGAAAAGGATTTTAAAAATATTGGAAAGAATCTCAAAGGGTAAGGATTCTGCTTCGGTGCTCACCTATATCCATAAAGGCAGCGCCATCAGCACTCTTACTAAATCACATACCAACGTGAAAAATTAAATGTAGGTCACACTCTGGTTGTCTGTGCAACTTGGTTTCAAGCATGTATCCAAAAGCTGAACAGTAACAGTCCAAGAAAAATGTAATCTTTCCTGAGGCTCTCTGCCTCTTAGCTTGACATGAGACCATTCMATGTCTTCAATGACACAAAGAGATCTGCAGGAAGTTTGCAGATGACACCAAGCTTGGTGGTGCAACTGACACATCTGAAGGACAGGATCCCATCCAAAGGGACCTGGACAAGCTTCAAAAGTGGRCCCTTGGGAATCTCATGAAATTTAATAAGACCAGGTACAAGGTGCTTCACCTGGATTGGGACAATCCTCCCTACTGATACTGGAAGATGAACTGATTGAGAGTAGCCCTGCAGAGAAGGACTTGGGGGTGCTGGTGGATGAGAGGCTGGACATGACATGGCCATGTGCATGTCCAGACCAGAAAGCCAAATGTGTCCTGGGCTGCATCCAAAGCAGCGTGGGCAGCAGGGGAGGGAGGGGATTCTGCCCTTCTGCTMTGCTGAGATGCCACCTGCAGTGCTGAAYCCAGCKCTGGGGTGCCAGCACAGGAAGGACATGGACCTGTTGGAGMGAGTCCAGAGGAGGCCACAGAGATGACCACAGKGATGGAGCATCTCTCTTAAGAAGACAGGTTGAGAGAGCTGTGGTTGTGCAGCATGGAAGATGCTCCAGGCAAAACTTAGAGCTGCCTTTCAGTACCTAAAGGGGGCCTAAAAGAAAGCTGAAGAGGTGCATGTGATGATAGGAAACGAGGAATGACTTTAAATTGAGAGCACGTTTAGATTAGATATTAGGAGGAAAACCTTTATTGTGAGGCACTGGCACAGGTTGCCCAAAGAAGTTGTGGATGCCTCATCCCCGGAAGTGTTCAAGACCAAGTTGGATGGAGCTCTGAGCAATCTGCTCCAGTGGAAGGTGTCCCTGCCTACGGCAGAGGAATTGGAAATAGATGATCTTAAAGGTCCCTTCCAGACCAAACCACTCTATGATTCTGTGATCCAGCAAAGGTAACAGTCTGTGTATGTTATCCATACCAGACATGACCTTTCTCCACACCCTTTCAGTAATCCTTTTGTACAGTTTTTTTGTTCATCTACCGTAATTTTCCAGCTTTTGATCTGCAGTTCTGGAGCGAGCTCTGCCCCGACTCCGTTCTGTTCTTTGCATTCAGACCACGCAGGCTTCCCTGAGACCAYGTCCACAACACAACAGCTACAGAAGAGCCAGCCTGCCAACCACCTCCACTGCCTACTGCTTAACCTGCCTGCAAGCCTCAAACTGCTTCTGCAAAAGAAATCCCAGTCAGGCCACACTGGAGCTTGCTCASCCCTGAAGGTACTTTTGAAGGTTTTCACTCAAAGTCCTAGGAACATGCACCAAGTAATACTCCTTTTAAAAAAGTCTGCATCTATCAAGCTAGGACAGATTTTAACAAGAACATCCTGACACAGTGTTTGACAAGGGATTAACTGTAATGCTAAGCTTGGGAAACTGCTAGAGCAGCTAAAAGAAAATGGTTATCAGGTTKTTTTTTTTTTTTTTTCTAAAGGGCAAAATACAGCTTCTCCTCACCTCAAATGGCTTAGATTTTCAAACAAAGTTGATCTGAGTAAGGCAGCATGAACAGAAAAAAAGATCAGCTTGAGCCATTTGACAAAAGTATAAGGAAGCAAAGACAGGATCTTATCTTATAAATGGAGGTATTAAAAATTTTGTATCAGCTACTATACTAACATTATTGCCTGCAAATATTCAGCTTTTTTTCATTGCTCTTTTCAACAGAATGCCTAATTTATCAATTCAAATCCCTTTTCATGGACAAATAAATTGCTTCTATATGTGATCATGAAAGGAAAATAGTCACTAAGTTACTCTCATGATCAACAAAGTTCTGGAATGCAAAAGTCAAAGACGTTAATAGTGTCAATATTATTTCCCCTCCCCCCTTCATTATTAGTACTGAGAAAAGAATTATTTTAATATTTCACCTCRAGGTTGCATGTTTTGAACACAGGAAGCCTAACTATTATAAGCTAGTACTTCTGCAAGCTCTAAACCATTGCCTTTGTGCACGAGTGCATTATCTATTCAGCAAAGCAGCTTCTATGTTTAGAAGTCTCAGAACTTCACMAATTTAACTTGTGTAACTGGTACAGTAGTTAGTCAGGAAAAGGAACAAAAGAATGATGTAGTGAAATAAACCTGGGAAMAAGCAACTAAACTTCCTTCCCAAGATAGATGCTGTATTTATGAATTGCAAAAACTAAGATATTTAGGCGGAAAAAAATGTTCTTCCACTTTATCTGAAAGAACAAAATGCTTATCAAGTGACAGTGAATTGCAGCTATCCAAAAAAGCATTCTACACCTACAGATGAAGACATCTTTTTCTAAGAAAAGCAGGCTAATGCACTAGCTAGCCAACATCAAATATAGCAAGAGCTCAGAACATCTCATGTAAACAGACTGGTACTCCTGAATCCAAATACTGAATCCTCAACTCAGTTTTGTCAAACAGCTTTGTTTTAAAGATAGGACCAGTGAACTGTGTTGTAGTGACACAGTTAAAGAAAACACAYAACAGCCCCTCTTGGCAGTGATCTTACCTGCTTGTCATTAACTGAGTACTTTTCTATTTCTTTCTTCGTCTGCAACAGCTTGTTCTGAAAGGGACACAAAAAACAGCTAAAGTGTTGTASTTCTGACAGCAGTATTAGCCTACATTACTTCAATAAAGCTTAAAAAAATCCCCTACAGTCCCCCCAGAATTATCCTCAACTAGTTACAGCATTTTACTGWCATTCTGAAGACCCATGAATATATGATGAAAATGTGAAATTTATCAATTTATCACTTCTCTGGTTTTCACTTTGTGTTCTAAAAGCAGCAATGACTTCTATAGATGCAATGCTTTTGTTTCATGCTACAGAGAGCACTTAAGACTGCAKATATTGATTCTTCTCTTTGATTTTGTTTATATTTTATATTTATGYGATATTACATAAACTTTCCTGAAGAACAATCACTGGCATGAAATTATCATAAAACCCAAAAATTTGKTAAATTCAAATTGTAGTAATCCTTTCAAGGAAAAAATCATTAATTCTGATGACATTCAAGGTCATGTAAAGTAAGTTCTSAAGTGTAGGTAAATTATCAAATGAGCTGGGACTGAGGATCTCCAAAAAATTAAGTGCTTCTGTTTCCAGAATAATTAGGTTTTTCACAATAAATAAAACACAAAAAATAAACAGCCTGTTATGAAAACAGACTAATACTAACTAAATTCTGAATACCTCTTGGTTTAAAAACAACAAACCGTTAAAGTAATGCTACCCCCCCCCCCAGCTGTTCCAATGAAGAGCTTTTCACTAGTAAAAAATAAGATATAATACTGATTAGACACCAGCATAYGTTGTGAATTTTAGAGATGATTAATTTCCCAGATGTCACTTACTGTAGGGAAATTCTACAGTTTTAACCAATATAGGGRTTTTCCTGATTTGTGCTCTGGCACAGATCAGACAATGATATAACAAATGCCATTAAGGAAAGCAACAGCATTGGCAAAGTTTTAATGCAAGCTAATCACAAATTCCATATTAGGCTATGCTTCTTAAAAAGGCAGCCACCTCTGCTATTCAAATGCATGAATTTGGAATGCTTAAGGTCCCCTTAAAATATAAACTGAAGAAGTATGAATAATCGTCAATTTAAAAATTATTCCCCACCTATACTGATTTTGTGAATAGTTTAGCCAGTAAAATTACACATATACTTACCTCATCCCTTGCAATCAGTGTTATGAAAGCACCTTGCTTATAGCAYTCAATAGCAATACATTTTCCAATTCCACTGGAGCCTCCAGTTACCTAAAAGTTATTTGAAAATATCAGTGTTAGTCCACTATTCTCAAACCTTCTCCCATATGTATGAGTCACATCACATGAAAATTCTAAAAACATACYGAGGTTAAAATATCACCCGATGAGRTWCAAATACAGGAGATGCACTAAAGTTAGCTTACTTATGGAGGCATGAATGAAACATAAGATCTGAACAGATCAAGGAGCCTTTGTTTCTACCCGAAATCCAGTTTTACCTCAGCAGTAATTTTTGCTCATTTCTTTTGTCAGGCACACTTAGACCACTCCCAAATGGGTGCTCTCACATATTCCATAGGATGTTTCTAAAAGCGTGTTGCTCAAAGTTTGAAACCACTATTAATGCCATGAAAGTGTCATTATGTACTGCACCTTCACACCTGGCCACAGTAGAAATTATTTGCAAAATCAGCTCTTGCAGACTGCAAGACATGATGCCATCACGTAAACATAAACAGATAATACCTTCTTTCTTATAGAAACAAAAAAAATCCCATTAATTCAACAATTGGCCCTTTGTAGTGTATTTCTTAGGCCCCCATGCCATCCTGCTATTTCAGTTTAGTGGGGTTAAGTTTCCAAAGCCTGTTCTTCTTCCTCCAAGCTGYAACACCTGGACAGTCTCATATGCAAACAGGAAGTTAATATTTCATTAATATGAGACAAGTATGGGGTAAAGGCTACAGTCCTGTATCTTACACTGCAGGAGGGTACTCTGCCAAATTATACCAACACAGGTGAAGGTCACCTCACTACCTCTCTCACTACCCTCAATAAAATTACTTACAAAGTGCCTGTGGAACAAGATGTAGATGACAATCCTGACCTCTCTTTTTGACTAAAATAAAAACATCTACCTGGCATCTTTAGGTGACTTGGATCAGTCTCAGTCTGCACGTGCTTTTGGTTCTCAGACATTGGTATCTTCCTTATATACCCAAGTTTTTTTTAATTTTCCTTTAACAGCTTTTGGAAAGTCATACTGTGAAAATACTGGAAAAAAACACCTAGAAGCAGTTACTATAAAGAAAAACACATTGATGAAATGGGCTCAGAAGAACTGGAAGAAGATGAAATTCAGATTTCTCTGGAAATCACCTTTTGCTCTTTATCAAAACCTTCCCAAAGGCTCCAGCGAAAAGGTTACCTCCTCCATTTTAAGAAAATGGAGACATTGAGCAAACCATTGTAAGAGCAAAGATCCCTCTCTAACTACACATCCTATCAAAAGGATAGGACCTACTAACCCCTACTTTGGGTTGTATCATCATTAGGCAATGTCTCAGTTTTGTGTTCAGAGATGCATTAACCTCAAAATTCTTTCCACTCCTGGAGGCAGTAAAGTCAGRAGAGTCAGAAGTACATTCCCATGAGTCACTAAACTCTTCTTTCATTTGAGTATTTTACCCCTAGCCTTCAAAAACAGCTTAGTGCAAATAAAATAATCCCAGCAAAGACTTACAACACATCTTCAGCCGCAAATGGGCCAAAAATGGGTGTAGCACTGACAAAGACTAATTTCAGCTCTTTAGGCTTCCTCTGCTATTAGAGAGAACTGCTTCAGATTAACTTCTAACTGACTCTGCAAGATTAGCTTCACACTGCACTAACCTTTGAGGATAACTCCAAGATGTGTGTCCTCTTCTGGAAATGTGAAACCCTGTCTGTAGTTTACTGCTTTCAGARCAATTGAAGCCCTTAAGAGTGYGAGTGTTAATTATTGATTTRGTACTTCAGYRGAACTACAGAATTAATGTAATGCTTCAYGGTGGAAAGAAGTAACAAATACACTAAAATTCTTAAAATAGATTGCAGTATTTCAACACATAYCTGAAAATATTAAAATAGTTTGATWCACTCAGGCAGACCTCAGATCCACAGCATGTCTGAGTTGCTTCTACAGATCAGCAGCAGGTACACTAGCACTAATCAATGGGCACAGAAGACTGCTCCTATTCCAATTTTTGGTGAGACAGGTGATTACTACCAGTACAAACTGGTGACTATCATGAATGGGTCAACTATACCAGTGCTTGAGGAATTCTCTACAGATGAAGGTACTGGCACCAAGCCTCCAGGCTGTCAAACAACACCAACGTTCATTTCAGAAAGACAATGTCAGAAGTCATGTAAGGAACATAAAAAGGAAGTTTTTATTTACAGTCACACCCAAGAACACTGTAGAGCTCATGTCAGATTGGTCAATGATAAAGTGCAATATCAATCAGCTGGGAACTTCAGCATTTAGGTGGGAGGCTGCTACAAGCRTGTGGGAGGTTGTTACTAATACACACGTTTTTGATTTGCGAAGAGCGCTAATGCAATAGCAAAACAATAAACATCTCCCACACTAGTGAAAAGTTTGCTTTGTGCTATAATGAAGTTAACCTCAGCAAATCTAAGAGGTCTGTTAGGTAGGTGAATTCCTAACACAGATGCTCAGAACTAACAAAAGAGCACACATCTACTCTGTTAAAAACAACATTATTACAATTACTTACCCTTGTGGCCAATGGTTCTWCTCTGCTACTGCATTTCATTAATTCCAGAAATTTGAATTGCCACCAATACCATTTTTAGTTTTACTGTAACTCAGTCCCAGGGGAGTTAGCAAAAATAAAAATCCARCCACCACAACTCAAATCACAGATTAATATTTCGACAAGAAGGCACAATTAAAACTTAGTAGACGTTCAAAATGCGGTATGACCAGCCATTGAGCAGTGTTACCGAGCTGTTTCCATACTTAAAAAGAACAGGTACCAAACTAGGTATTGCAAAAAGTGTCTGGCTCCAACTTCTTAAGCTATGATCCTTGATAACAGAGTTCAATTTTTAAGAATCATAAGGTTTATTTCCCCCTTATAAATGGAAACAGTGGGGTAAAGTACAAARAACTGATCTATCACAGCTTCAAATCTGAGATACTGGAAATTCACCTCAATTGATGAGACTGTCCAAATCCAAATTAACAGAACTGTTATCAGGAATGATCAAAACCAAGACTTGATGCGGCACCTCCAATAGAACTTACTAACTTAGAACTGGATGCAAGCTGGCTCCATGCTTTTAGACAGTGCTTTGATAGAAGCTTCTACTGAAACAGAACGTGCCTTTAATCTGCTGTGAGTGGTTAGCCTGACTATASTCAAAATGACCTCTTGTCAAACCACTCGGATGTGTCCAAATCACAGATAATATCACTCCCAACACAGCGCTGAGACAAGATGGGCCACCCTTAAGGCCAACCACAGTTACCCCTCCAAGTTCTGCACAGAAGTGGGGAAACTTCTGCGCTGGAGATGACCCACATGCAGGAGGGTTCGGCATGATCGTCCTGAACTATGGCCACATGGAAAAGGGTCTTTGACAATACGAATGGGAGAGAGTCCCAAGCAGATAACATGTTTTCATTTCCTGCCATTGCTAATCCAAACTCTGATAAACTGCATTCATAACACTGAGACCTCAGGGGTTTGTTTTTTTCTCAGAAATTCAACTTGRTTTTAGAAAGATGAAGGCTGAAACAAGGGAAAGAGATTAGTGTAAATATTTCAACAAAGAGTTTTTAAACATCACTCAAGAACTTTTGTAGATAAATTGAAGAGACAATATGTATAGAGCAGGTGCAATATCCCTAACAAAGGGCAGTTACATGTGGTCCGAGTGAGCTTGATGCAAATGAAGCAGTGGTGACTGCCCAAGCTTATTTTCATATTCCTGTCTACTGTTATAGGCAGCTGCCAAAATAGTAGCTTATTCTCACAGAATTCTTGACATGTACTAGTTTGTAGCCTGAGACCAAAGGAGAGAGTTAAAGTCAGCAGCAAAATAAGAAATGTATAAAACAGACTTCTGAATTTCAAAGCATAAAGAAGTTCAGCACATGAAGCAGCAGCTCTACAGCACAAAAAATAATATTTATACCCTCTATTTAAGAACACTTTCTCAAGTGTTCTAGTCATGCTAGAAGTAAAAAAGTATTAAGCATCTAAAAAGCATTTTATTTAAAATAAGCTAAACCTAATGCCTGAGCCAATTTAAGAGCAGAGAAGCCCTTACCATTTAATGGTGCTAGCTGGGGTAGGGAAAATACACAGCAGATAAGGATGTGGTGGGGGGTTGGGGAGAACTCACAAGATTAGACGATGAGTAATTTGGAGATCTCTAGACTCTCACTCTGAATAGCAGTCCTATTCTTTTCTAAGAGAAAGAGACTCTTATGATTCYATGATTTCTCCAGAAACTATGTCTTGCCTAACACAGCAAGGGTTTCCATCATGCAAATGACTCTGGGAGATTGCAGAGGAAAAAAACCTCACAAGTTTTCTGCTTCAAATTCCTATCCCAAATGGCARCCAGAGTTAGTTATTTAGCCACAATTCAAGCATTTCCTAACCATAACTCAAACAACTCCTAACCATAACTGTTAGGAGTGAAGATAAATAATTTTTTTAAGAATTAAAAGTGAAAAGAAAGCTGACTTAATTTGAAAATTCAATAACTAGTATGTAATAGCCTCTGAAGTTGCCCAATGACCTTTCTTCAGAAATGYAAGAGATATATTCTCATTATATTTTCAACAGGCCCCTGCAAAGAAATGTTTCTAGGGAAGACTGACTTCTTCTGCTTCGGTAAAGCAATTTTATTCAAGTATATTTTGAAAAAATCACATTTAGTATGCAATGACAATCACTTGCCCTCTTGAAAGGGCTCAACCAATTTGCAGGTCATTATTCTTTTATTTATTTCAATAGTGGCTTTAACTGAGGCCTGATACTTCAGCATATTTTGACATTTTTCTGTGAGAAGRCTTCAAAGAAGCCCTTTGATAATATTATGGTCCTTAAATATTTTCATGAAGTCTCTCAGTCATTTCAGTAGCAGAGAATGTTCACTCCCAGCATATGATTAAGGATTTCCCTTTACACACACAGTGTGTAAAACCTTCTTGAACAGTATTTCTGATTTACACTACCATCATCCAAGACTTTTCCTTATGCATGGCATTAGAGAATCTGAACCACATGTACAAGTGCCCAGCATTATTAACAGCACCTACACATCTAAGAAACAGTCACCTCCAAACCAATTGGTCCATATTTCTTTACCTTGAATGATCACTTTAGGAGCATAACTGAAGTTGAAATAAAATGGTAGTTCTACAAGGGGTAGAATCAATAAAACTGCCTGCCTGCAGGTTTTTRTTTGTCAAGTGGGATATATCTTATAGCCTTTTTCTTCATCAGTATATTCATACAGTTACTTTTCCAGCTGAACTCCTGATTTTATAAGACTYGCAAGAATACTGTTTTTTAGACTTCCAATAGTACCAAATCAAGCTTTAACTGCTAATTAGCAGCAACAGTTACAGGGAGGCTTCACCAACAAGAACAGTCCCATCATTTTCAATTTGAACTTTTTAAAATGAACTCTTCTGATTAGAAAAACCAGCACAGCAGYTTTTAAAGAGTTTAATCATTATCCAGAATGAACAAAACTTTGGRTAATCACTGCATATACAAATAAAACCAAACAACAAAAAAAGAGAAATAAAATCCACTTGCCATTTTATGTTTGGTATTCTGTTTCTTCATAAGAAAGCCCTTAAGTGTCCTTCACCTTTGCCTTAATAACCATTACTCTTGTGGGGAAAGAGCCATAACCCAAGAACCTTAATGCAACCTCGAACACACCTCACACAGAATATGATGCTGTAAAGCCAGTTACAGCACCCAAGTAACACCTACTGCATAAAGCAACTTGGGAGCACTGTTGCAACTTGGAAACATCTAAATCATTCTGGGGACAGCTCCATCCTCCAAAGAGCAACTCAAAAAAATAATAATGAAAAACCCCGTCCTCATTTACAGTAAATTTAAACAAACAGTAAACTACAGCTTCTCTGCACAGAACATACGTTGGACATTTGGAGATAAACTAAGAAASCTGATTCTAGGACCATGAATCTTTGAACCATTTAACTCATTTGCTGTCAAATGTCCATATTCACTAATCTGTGATACATCTGAAAGCACCTGGGCAGCATTCCCCTTTTTTCTGGCTCCCTCTTCTCAAGCCACATACTCATCCATGAGTACCACTCATGGACTCTTTCCAATGTTCTTCCAAACACTTCCTTCTACCATCTTGTCAAAATACTGCTCAAAGACATCCATATCTATGTGCTTAAAGATGAAAAGGTGCCCAAGTGTCATYTGACCACTTCCTTTGTATTAGTTTTCCATTTCCTCATACCGGACTTAGTTTTTTAGACCAAGGAAACCATAGATTTTSCCCTTTGTTTATGAGTGTGTACATACACAACCTGACTACCTAAGGGAGACGGTGAAAACAAAATACACTCGAGGAAACCGATGGCTCGGATAGTAGAAAAGGAATGTCTCAAAAAGTCAGCTCCGATACTGGAAGATGGTGACTCAGACCATCGCCTYAAGCCAACCGGGACACACAGCGGTTTGTCAGAGCCATCGGGACAGGTCATTTCCTTATCGCCCGGGACTTGTGGCTCCCGCGTTTTGGTAGCTCGGGGTGCCACCGCCAGCTTTTCACGACTCCTCGCAGACCCGCGGACACCCCTAAGGCCGCCCGGCCGCCAGCCCCACTCCGGGGGCTCCCACACCTCCCCTCCCCGCCCAGAGGCTTCCCCGCTCCCCCCGCTCCTGCAGCGGGATTCCTTCAGCCGTACCCCGGCTGCCAGCGGGGCACTGCCCGCAGCGTGCGCCCCCACCTCGGGGGGAGCGGCTTCCGTCCCTCCTTCCTTCCCTTTCCCGGCGAAGGGCGGGCGGCTCGGGAGCCCCCCCGCTGCCGAGGCCGAGCGGCAGCGCCCGCCCGCCGCCTCCTCCCGCGGCGCAGCGGGACACGGCGGGAGACCCCCGCCCGGCCCCTTCCCGAGGGGCGCCGCACTCACCACGACGTGCGCGCCCGGCAGCTTGAGAGACTTGGGGCTGATGAGCGGCGACACCATGTAGAGGAGGAGGACGAAGGCCACGATGAAGGCGGCGGCCAGGAGCAGCATGGCTCGGGCTGCGCCGGCGGAGGCGAAGCGGCGGGCGGGCGAGGGGCAGAGCCCCTCGGGACGGTGCTGCTGCTGCGCGGGAGTCGCGGTGCCGCCCGTCCGCCTGCCCGAGCCGCGGCGGGAGCGGCGGGG